AAAAATACGACCTTGGAGAAACAAAACAATAGTAAATTACAAACATGCAAGCAGTTTAATTAAATAAAACATGTGTACACAAAATAATAAAACATGCAAAATTCCTTATCTCAAAACATGTAACTAAAATAAGCAATATCAGCACTTCTAATCTCTGTCTGTTTTCCTAGTCAAACAGGCCAAAAGCCCAACCAAATCTACTTTCACAAAGGACAGGGTCATCCCGTGACTAATGCAGAAGATCTGGGTTCTGTTCTGATAATGACTCATTGGGTGACCCTAAACTAGTGACATATCTTTCCAGTTACAGAATGAAGATGGTTCTGGAAAACACCTGGAGATATGAGGGTAAAAAACTGATTTTAAATGCAGGGCATTCATTTCCTTTCATAAAATTTATAACGATAAATTAGTGTTCTGTTGCTCAGTAAAAGAGGGCCTAAGTCTGCTAAGCATTGACTTCAGCATGGTCAGCTTTCCTGAGTAAGGCTTATTAATGTATAAGGGCTTGCAGGTTCCAAGCCAATATTCCTTTTATTTGTAACTACATATTTCTCTAGCTATTTCAGACTTTAGAATGTCATTTCTCTTTTAAGGGACATAGCTGCAAGGAACTGCCTGCTGACCTGCACAGGGGCAGATCGAGTTGCCAAAATTGGTGATTTTGGAATGGCCCGGGATATCTACAGGTAAGGTGACTGTTTGTAATTTCCAGTGTGTGGCTAGCCCAGGAGTGGGCAGTTATTTTGGCTGGGTCACTTAACGAGTTTTGATGAGTAAGGCTGTGTGAAGCTTTGGTCTGCGATTCGATTCAGAGAAGTTTCGGCCCGATTTGGAGGCCGAATCTCGAAATCCGAATCAAATCGCTAGAAGCTTAAAACTTTCTGAATCCATTTGGAGCCTCCAAATCGATTTGGAAAAGATTTGGAAGAGATTTGGCAATTCGGAAGGTGGTCTTTATGGGGAAACAGAGACTTAGAAGAGGGAGGGGAAGCAAGGGGGGAAGGACTGACATCTCTAGCTGGCCAGTGACTGTGATTTCTCCCTGACTGCCATTCCAATCACAGTGTCTGGGGGGAGGGACATAGAAACAGCATAAAAGCCTCTGTGTGCAGGCTTTTCTGTCCCTTTCCTGAGCTGTTCCTGCCTGAGCAACAGCATCTCAAAGGTACTGTGACTACTGGCCTGGCTTCCTAGCCAGTGGCCTGCTACTTTTTGCTGTTAGAAAGGATTGGGTAGGATATAGGTTAGCTTAGTTTCATAGTTTCATAGTTTCTAGGGTCAGAAGGGACCTGAGAAGATCATCTAGTCCAACCCCCTGCCATGGCAGGGAAGAGTACTGGGGTCAAACGACCCCAGCAAGGTGTTCATCTAACCTCCTCTTAAAAACCCCCAGGGTAGGAGTCTGCACCACTTCTCTTGGAAGTTGGTTCCAGACCCTAGCCGCCCTGACCGTGCAGTAGCGCCTCCTGATGTCTAACCTAAACCTACCCTCTGCCAGCTTGTGACCGTTATTCCTGGTCACTCCTGGCGGTGCTCGGGGGAACAGTGACTCCCCCAATGCCTGCTGATCCCCCCTGACTAATTTATAACAGGCCACAAGATCCCCCCTCAGCCTTCTCTTTTGGAGGCTGAACAGGTTCAGGTCCCATAGCCTCTCCTCACAGGGCCTGCCCTGCTGTCCCCTGATCATGCGAGTGGCCCTCCTCTGGACCCTCTCCATGCTGTCCACATCCCTCTTGAAGTGTGGCGCCCAGAACTGGATGCAGTACTCCAACTGTGGCCTGACCAGTGCCGCATAGAGGGGGAGGATCACCTCTTTGGACCTGCTCGAGATGCATCTGTGGATGCGTGACAAGGTGCGGTTTGCCTTCCTAACTGCCTCCCCACACTGCCGACCCTTGTTCATCTTGGAGTCAGTGATGACTCCAAGATCTTTTTCCGCCTCCGTGCTGACAAGAGGGGGTTCCCTAACCTGTAGGTGTGGTGCCAGTTGTTCCTCCCCAGGTGCATCACCTTGCACTTGTCTGTGTTGAATCCCATCCTATTCTCATCCGCCCACCCTTGTAACCTGTCTAGGTCTGATTGTAGTTCAGACCTAGACTAAGTTTAGCTTAGGTTAGCATCTCTCTACTTTACTACTTAACCAATTCATTTCTTTCAATTTATATTTGTTCTCTTTTTTTTTGCAATACTTTAAAAAAAGAAAGTTCAGTGTTTTCCCTGGCAATGTGATCCATCACTGTGCAGGGAAGCACACATTACAAACACTCCCACATCATAGAAGAAGTCAGATATTCATAGAAGAAGAAGAGATTTAGAATCAGATTATATATAATTATTAGTTCTCAATATTATTATAGTTAATTTACATACAGACTAAAGACAACACAGAAGTCAGAAAGAGATTCAGGTTGAGATTAACATACATAACACAGAACTCAGAGTCCCAGAAGAATAAGAATATTATTTTAGGTACACTACACAAAAGAACAACAAGAAGTTCTGGGGAGGCTCTTTTCAGCCAGACTGGCTGACCTGCTCCACCG